GAATATAGAACAGGAAGAAGACTTGCTGTGATCGCAGGCTTGCGTTCAGTTAGCCCTTGCGCTAAATAAAGCTCTCCTTCGCCGAGTCAACTCCTGCTTGTTCAACAACCCGTTTCAATAGAATAGAAGGCAGCAGAAAGGGGGGTGGTATTGGGGCATTCATTCATAAAAGTACAGATTGGCAAAGGGTCAAGCAGGAGTGCAAGGAACATTTATGGCTAGAAGGGAAAGTGGCAGATCAAATGACAATCCTTGGTTTCGTGTACTTTTGGATGGGAGCAAAGGCCTGAGAGGAAAACCAGGCAATGGAAGAGTGTATATCAAAGGACATTCAGGAGTTAGGAAGAGAGTGCGAGATAATCATACTAGGAGACATGAATGCGCACATAGCAGAGATAGATGGGTATACCGACCCTACAGGCAAAATGATCATGGATATGTGTGAAAGGCTTGATTTGATCATTTGCAACAGTACCGAGAAGTGTGAAGGGCAAATAACATGGGAGGTAGGACGGCTGCAGTCGACGATAGATTATGCACTGATGTCACATAGGATGTATGATAAGCTCAGGGGAACGCACATAGATGAAGGTGGCTCTAGAAGTCTGGGTAGTGATCACAAACGTATCGACCTAAGTTTTGGAAGAGCAGTGAAAGTTGGAAGGAGACAAGATGAGCAACTACAGCAAAATTTTTATTCAGAAAGGCAAATTGAAATAGCCACTAAACAAATTGAGAAAGTAATCACGGAGGATAATAAGACAGTGTGGACATACACGAATCTAATTAGACTGTTTGAGCTAGAGCTTGCCAAGACGCGTGACAAGTCACCCCGGAAAAGAAGACACAAACCCAAAAGTTGGTGAGATGAGGAAGTTAAGAGAGCCATAGCAAAACGTCAGGAAGGCTCTAGGTAACACAGACATGCTAAGCAGTGGGGTGAACCGACAGGTGATGTTGAAAGAAAATGGGAAACCTTTCTAAGCTGTAGAAGGAATGCATCCCTTCTGATCAATGAAAAGATTAGAAGAAAAGTAGCTCAGTGGCTGGCAGAAGTACATAAAAAGATAGAAAGGCAGCTGCGAAATTTAGGAACCATCTAAACTCCCTAAGAAATGAGACGAGCCTAGAGCAGAGGTTTATAACTACAGCCCAAGGTGCTAGGCTAGAAGGGGACGAAGCTATTGAATATATAAGAACAAGGGTGACAGAAAAATTTCAACAAAGCAGTGCTTTATGCACCACAATAGACAAGGACGAACCAAGTGGTGCAATGGCTCCATTTTCACAACGTGAGAGGGAAAGAGCTGAGAAAAGGGTTCCGAGTAGTACATCAACAGGTCCAGATGGCATTCCAATTATGCTGATAAAGACATTAGGTCCGAAGTCTAAGCAGGCTTTGAGAGAGTCAGTAAGCAAACTAATAATCGATGGTGAAGTTCCCGATGGATGGAAATTTAGCAGGATGAGCATGATCTATAAAGGAAAGGGGGACAAAGCTGACATAAACAGCTACTGTCCTATAACAGTGACATCAGTGGTCTACAGGCTGGCGATGCAGATTATAAAGGAAAGACTGCAGGCGTGGATAGAGAATGAGGGGGTGCTGGGGGAACTGCAGAATGGGTTTCGGAAACACAGGAGGTTGGAAGACAATCTGTTCTCACTGACGCAGTGCATCGAAATAGCAGAAAAGGAACACAGGCCCCTGTGGCTAGCATTTTTGGATATCAATGGAGCGTACGATAGCGTGGTTTAAGAGGAATTGTGGGGAATACTGGACACACTAGGCGTGGAACACGTAGTCACTAATCTTTTAAAGGGTATCTATAAAAGTAACAAGGTAGTTATAAAGTGTGAAAAACAAGTATCCAAGCCTGCAGAGGTAAAACGGGGGCTTAGGCAGGGGTGCCCCCTGTCATCCTTATTATTCATGATGTACCTACAAGGATTAGAGGCAAAATTAGAGGGAAGTGGACTGGGCTTCAACCTCTCTTTAGTCAAACAAGGAAAACTCATTGATCAGGCACTACCAGCATTAATGTACGCAGATGATATAGTGCTAATGGCCAACAACAAGAAAGATTTGCAGAAATTGATGGACATCTGCGGTAATGAGGGAGATAGGTTAGATTTCAGATTCAGTAAGGAAAAATCAGCAGTCATGATTCTCAATGACAACGAAGGTAGTGAGCTTAGAATACAGGAGGTCACGCTGGATATAACAGATAAATACAAATATCTGGGCGTATGGATAAGCAACGGGACCGAGTATCTGAGGGAACACGAAATATACGTGACGACTAAAGGTAACAGGAATGCAGCAGTCATGAAAAATAGGGCACTGTGGAATTACAATAGGTATGATGTTGTGAGAGGAATATGGAAAAGGGTCATGGTTCCTGGGCTGACGTTCGGCAATGCGGTCTTGTGCATGAGATCAGAAGTTCAAGCAAGATTAGAAATTAAGCAACGTGGAATAGGTAGGCTTGCTTTAGGAGCTCACGGGAATACACCAAATCAGAGAGTACAAGGTGATATGGGATGGACATCATTTGAGGGCAGGGAAGCTAGCAGCAAGATATAATTTGAGAAGCGATTGAGAGAAATGGGGGAGGAGCGTTGGACTTGGAAGGTTTTCAGCTACTTGTACATGAAGAATGTCGATACAAAATGGAGGAAGCGAACCAGGAAATTGACTGGTAAATACTTAGAAAACAGCAGGTGGCCAAACCAAAAAGAACTATCGGTTAAGAAGATTGTGAAGGAAACGGAGACTGACATGTGGAGAATGGGCATGATTAAGAAGTCCGCACTAGAGATCTATCGAACCTTTAAGCAGGAAATTGCCAAGCAAAGGATCTATGATAATACTCGGGGTAGTTCTCTACTATTTGAGGCCAGGACGGGAGTATTGCGAACTAAGACATATCGGCCCAAATACGAAGGGATAAGGGATAGGCACAGTATGCAGTGCGTGTGGAGAGGAAGAAGAAACTGCCGAACACTTGATAATGTTCTGTAAAGGGCTTCACCCTATAGTTCAGGATGACGGCGCAGAGTTTTTCAAAGCACTGGGGTTTAGGGACCGGGAGGGCAAAATAAACTTTAAGCGGGTAGACTTAACTAGAAAGAGGTTATCTGATTGGTAGCTAAAGTCAAGGCACGAGTGAAAATTAAACTCTTCACTGCAACGTACGAATCCTCAAACTCACTTTTTAAGGAAAAAAATAAATCTAGTTTTTGGTTCATCAAGTATTACGGCTTGGTGGCGCTAGCCACCGCCCGATCAAAAGGGTACAGCCATATCCACCCATCCATCCATCCATTCTTGGGAATATTATAACTAGATGACATTAACGGTTTTCACAGCATATTCATGGAGTGAATGATGATGAATGGGGTGAAGCGTCCGTCCGTCCATCTGTGTCTCCAACCGTCCGTACGTCCTTCCGTCCATCTATCTGTGCTTCCGTCCATCTGAGCTTCTGTGCGTCGATGCGTCCGTCTGTCTGTCCGTCCGTCCGTCCGTCCATCCGTCCGTCCAGCCGTGAGCACGTCCGTGCGTTCGTGATTCTGTCCGTGCGTGCTTCTGTCCATGCGTGCGTCCGCGCCTCTGTGCGTCCGTTCATCCAGATGGACGGACGAATGGATGAACAATGCGCCCCCCTCATCATCATTCCATCCGTAGATATGCTGTGATTTTTCTTTTTGTAAGACAGTGAAGCGTTATCACAAAAGTTGAGTTTTCATAACCCTCTGTAATAGTTTTTTTTTAATGCGAATGAATTTCTTAGTCGGGCTATGTCAGGCATTTGGCATTGTCCGCGGCGCCGCTCTCACTCTCTCTCCCATAGCAACAGCTGTGGGCGCGCGCGCTTATCCTCAACCCTAGCAACAGGAGCATGTGTTGCGGGAGGGTAGGATAAGGTAGATGCAGTGCTGCGCAACTCCTTCTCTCGCCATTCACTCTCTCTTCCCTGTGCGCCCCACTTTCCGTCCGCTCGCAACTCACTCTCGACCAATCTCTGGCTGGGCGCCTCTCAAGAACATTCGTAAATGTGTGCTCGAGACGCCGCTGTGTAATGCCAGCGCCGAGCCGAGAACGCTGTGTGTTTTGATCACTTCATAGTATGTCTTAACAATGCACGCTAGCTACTAAAGGGAAACGCATACCGCTTTTTTCGCGACAAAAAAAAAACGCCACGTGCGGTGAACGGCGCTGTTGGCTGCACGATGTGAAAAAAAAAAGAAAACATTATTCTTCTCACGCTGGGTTCTTACTTGCGAAACGCTGTTATGGATGCTACGCAATGCATTCGCATTTCCTCGTGATTTCCTTCGGGGAGGTGTGGCCTTTTCTTTTTTTCTGGTCTCCCAGGATATTGCATTGCCGTGGTGTCTGCGCCATTTTCAAAGACCGAGTCACTAATCCTGCTGCGCTGTCACTATAGAGTCAAGCCGACGAATCTACCAGACTGATTACCCTCGTGCCTGTATAGGATTGCGCACATAATGAGAGCATGTGGGAAGTTTTCCCTTCGGAAGAAGCGAAACCATGTCGAGCGTGGGTGTGCATCGGCTTCGTGGCAATGTACGGAAGGCGAAGTTGCGACATGTCCCAACCCCCGAGTATTGTCAAGTCTACGCTAATTATTACGCTTGCCTGCATCCACTCTTTCGACTCTATAGAATGAAATTGCAAGCGCCATCCCGCGCAAGAACACTCTGGTTATGCCAATGACAGACACGGGTCCCGTAATGAGCATGCTACGCGAACAGTATACGACTCCAGCCAAACTTCGCGAACAGCCACATTACAGAGATGATACGCTGTCAACGTATTGCCGAGGCTTCCACGCATGAGGCAGGTGAACAAAATAAAGAAACACGATGGCAGCTGGGAGAGAGGCTCGCCTTGCCGAGAGAAGAGAGTATCAAATATGTTGCTAGAAATTCACGTTCTTTAACTAATTCATCTTTCTTCTTTTGTGTTTCAGAGACCCATGAGCCACCACCCGAAGGTAAGGGGGAACAACGCTTTCTTTTTCATCCACTCATACGCAGAGTCATAGCTCTTTTGTAGAGCGTGAAGTATCAATATACTTGAAAAAATGCTTAGACTGATAGATACTAACTACTTTATTAATATATGAATAAGTGATTCGCGTAGAATCACACCTATTCATCTCGCAAATACATTCGCGTTTTATTTAATTGCACATCCTAAAGACTATCGAATTCTGTAGACTATTGTAGCAAGTTACCGAAATACAGTACGACATTGCCATCCCGCTCCTCCAGTCTCGCTCGTTGTGTTTAAGGCGATCCCAGTTCCAGTGATAGCTCGTCTCGCGAACAAGTTACTCGTTAAAATGCGTATGCTGAGCGGCAACAATGAGGTCTGACCACCTCATAGTAGTAAATATAATATGTGGTGGCTGGGGTGCCTTGACTGGAATTAGTAGCGGCAAAAGCAAAATCAGCGAGAAAAGAGGAGTGCTAATACAGTACCGTATTTCCCTCGCTTGCTTAAGAGCTCCGTATGCCGTTCGTGTATTCCTGTCACAAAAGGGCACGAACACAAATGGGTATTATTCGTGTTTCGAGGGCGTTTCAGGGGATCAATACGTCGTTTCCTCGAATCAGCATTCTGTTCAAGTTATGCGACAGTTAATGATTTAGATGTACGTTTGCAATTTTTCTACGTGGCAGAAGGCACGCATAACTCATTCCAGTAGCCTGCAGTGCTAGTTTGCATATAGTGGAGTTGGTGGAGTTCATTTCTCGTTCCTTATATTGAGCAATCGAACAAATTTTTCTCCAAATTATCGGGCAGTAGGATCGCTGTACGGCTGTATGGAACTCCCTATGCCAAAGCGTTCAATATGTCGAGCTGCGCGCAGCGCCACGCCTTCGGCAACTTTTTTGAGCTAGCTCCGTTCCTCTTGACGGCTGTCACTCCATCCTAGCGAATAAATAGTTACCCAGACTCTAAAGCTATTGGAACAGCCGCAATGCACTCTTTCTCCTCCAATTCTCTCGTGTACACAATGGCTACAAACATGTATGTGCCACAGGGTCACTGCCCAACTATACTGGCATGCGTCACAAATGGGGCGCGAAAATTGTCCCTCCAGTGCAGCCCGGGGTGTCAAACGACGCGTCGACGGGGTGCATCGCGTCGCAAAGAACAGTGCAAGATAAAAGTGGGGAGCCCTTCGAAGTATGTGTAAAGAGCTCAAAGCAAACTCCGCTTAGAAAACTCAACTGATATATGAATGGCGTCAGATGGACTACCTGCATAGAATATAAACCTTTGCTGACGCCGGAGAAACGTAAACTAACAATTAGCTTCGCAGTTTGAACAAACAGTTGAATTTTAGCACCCGATGTCTTTCTTCCTGGGCTAACTTTTTCAATTCAATTCAATTGTGTATTCATTACTAGTACAGAAGGAGGTCCCAGAGTTACAAAACTGTCTGGGAGACTTCTTATCAGTCGTTTAACAATGTCATTAAATTGATAGCAGTGGAACAATAATAGATAAAAAAGAATTCTGAAAATAATAAAGCAGGACGTATAGCAGTAAATATTATTAATGGAAAAAAACAGCAAAGCAGTGTAAATGTTCAATAAAAAGTCACTTACAAGAAAATTATAGGACATTCTTTATAAAGATTACAACCAAAATTGCAATAAATATATTGGTTTACATAAACATGATGCTTTATCCTAGAATAAGGGGAGATTTCATAGATAAAAAACACCTGCACACAAATATGTAATGCACTGCAAAAAAGCAAAAATTATGCAGTCAAGGAAGGAAGCAACAAAAGGGAGAAGGCAGGGAGGTTAACCAGAAAGACATCCGGTTGGCTACCCTACACTGGGGGATTGGGGAAGAGGACAAGAAAGGTGAGAAAGAGTGAAGAGGGGGAAATATAAAAAAAGGAGAGACTGACAGTAATTTCACTGCAGCGTGTAGAGCTGCACCGCATGCCAGAGGTGTTCACACAGGCCCGTCTTTCTCAAAAAATACAGCAGGGCTTTCACTGCCTTGTGGGCTGTCGAGGGATGTGGACGTTGCTGTAATAGCACCTGCACAGGAAGAGGCCGATCGTCCAGTCGCCGCATTGCGTTCGCAAGTACTTGTCTGTCTGAGGCAAATTGAGGACACTCGCACAGCAGATGTTCGATATTTTCATCGGTGCCGCAAACATCGCATGCCGCACTGTCCGTTATTCCAATTAACCTGGTATAAGTTTTCGTGAAAGCAACTGCCAGCCAAAGGCGATAGAGAAGCGAAGCTTCACGTCGATGTAGGCCAGGTGGAGGGCCGGAGTTGTAGTGAAGGGTCGAGCTCGTGCAGTCTTGTATGACGTATGCTTGGTGTGTTCCACTCAGTCAGTGTGAGGCAGTTGACGAATCTGCCTCGCCGCGTCGGCTCTTGAAAGCGGCATTGGAACACTGTTTGTTTCTTCATGTGACGTGCGACAGTGCAACACTAAACGTATAATTAGATTTATAGGTGCATGTTGCCTCACCCCAATTAGCCGTGACTACTTCGTAGTCCCCCGCCACCATGTGTCTCATAATTATTTAGCAGTATTGGCACGTAAAATGTCAAGACATGGCTTTTTGTATGTCATTTCATATCAAGCTTGCAGCAAGAAAAGAGGAAATATTCCCAGGTCATTCAAGGAGCAACTCTTTAGCACTTAAAGCCATATTTTGGCATTCGAGGCAGCAAAGCCAATCTTGCGTGTTATTCGTACATTGTAGTATGTGAAAATGGCGTATGCAACTTGTGAAAAAATTTATTTGGCTAGTAAGTTTATCTTAGCAGCAAATCACACCAAGGGGGGGGGGGGGCAAAGGACAAGAAACAAGGTCGATACAAGCACAAAGTATCTTGTGGTCTTCTCCGTATTCTTCTGCATTCCTTGTTTCCTTTGGTGCCTTTGCTGATGAAGTTGTGTAGACAACATTGAGCTTGCTTTCCTTCACTTTTGCAACATGAACCCGACTATAGACGTAAACGTAGTCGGAATGCCCGAGGCTATTGCTTTACAGGACAGCACGAGAAAAATAATGAATTTTTTCGACAGCCTAGTTACGGACCTTTGTAGGATGGACAGCGCTAAGGAAAGGAGAGTATGCAGTATAGGCATTTTCTTTATGTATGAAAACCAAAGGAATGGAGGCTACGCTAGAGGAAGCTATCACATCATCCTGACCGAAATATTCAAAGAACACACAGCCCATGCACCCACTCACCAACCCACCTTCGTCCAAAAAAGAAAGAAAGAACGAAACAATAAGAACTGAGAAAAAAGAACGCCAGGCCTGCGCTGAACACGCAGAACAGTCACAGTGAACGCTGTAATGTCTAGTTCACACTGAAGCATCTGCATTTCTACAGCGAGAAAAATTCTTCTGTCGCCGAAATGCAGCGTCTTTCACACTCGAAGCGCACCGCACTGCCGAATTTGATGAATTAAAACTCCGCTGGATGCATGGATGGATGTATACGGCTGTGCCCTTTAGATCGTGCGGTGGCTCACGCCACCTAGCCATGAAGTACTATCGCTATGTGTTTAAGGATTGAATTTCACTCGCGCCTTGATTGTAGTCACCAATCAGTTAGCCTCCACCTGGTTATTTCTACCCGTTTAAAGTCTATTTTGCCTTTACTGTCCCTAAACCCGAATGCTTTAAAAAAATTCTGTGCCATTATCTTGGACTATAGGGTGGAGCCCTTCACAGAACATTATCAAATGTTCATCCGTTACCTTCTCTTATCCACATGCACTACATACCGTGTCTGTGCCTTCGTGTTTGGCTCGGTAAGTCTAGGTCCGCAATACTCCCGTTCTGTCCTCGAACAGCAGAGAACTATCCCGAGATTTGTCGTAGATATTTTTCTTTTGCAATTTCCTGCTTGAAAGTTCGGTAGGTCTCCAGTGATGATTTTTCAAGCATTCCAACCTTCCACATGTCCCTCTCTGTTTCCTTCACCTTGTTCTTAACTGATGTTTCCTTTTTTCTTGGTATTCTGCTGTTGTCTAAATACTTGCTTGACAATTTTCGAGTTCGCTTCTTTCATTTAGTATCAACATTCATCATGTACAAGTACCTGAAAACTTTCCTAGCCCAACGCTCCTCTCCCATTTTTCTCAATCGCTCCTCAAATTCCATCGTGCCGCTAGCTTCCTTGCACTCAAACGATGTCCATTCCACGTCACCCTGTACCCCCTGATTGAAACTCTTCCCTTTTGCTCCCAAAGCAACTCTACATGAGCCACTTTGTTTAATTTCCAATCTTACTCCAACCTTTGATTTCATGCACAAGACCGCATTGCCGCACGCCAAACCCGGGACCGTGACACCTTTCCAAATCCTTCTCACAACGTCGTACCTATTGTACTTCCACAGTGCCCTATTTTTCATTACAGCTGCATTCCTGTTAACTTTAGTCATTACGTATATATCTTTCGTGCTTCCTTAGGTACTCAGCCCCGTCATTTATCCATACGCCCAAATATTTGTATTTATTCACTATTTTTAGCGTGACTTCTTGTGTCTTATCCTCACTATTTTTGTTTTCATTAAAATTCATGATTGCCAGTTTTTCTCTGCTGAACTTCAAATTTAACAACTCTGCCTCTTCAACACAGATGTAAATAAATACCTGCATATCTTCCTTGTTGTCGGCTGTTATTACTATATCATCTGCATACATCAATGCTGGTAATGACTGTTCAATGTGTTTTCCTCGCTTGGCAAAAGAGAGGCTGAAGCCGAGTCGACTCCCCTCTAATTTGGCTCCTAGTCTCTGTAGATACAGCCGGATTAGAGTGCCTCAATGCCCACTCCTCTGCTCAGAGTGAAGACATCTGCGGCGGCCGCCATTATCACTCCCTCTGCGTACAGGCTTTGTTCTGGCGCGTAGTGGCGAATGGTTGTAGCCCTGGGGAATTCAACATCCAGGCAAAACATATCGAAGAATACGCGCACGTGA